TTTCGGCAGAATCTCATCTGCCATCATCAGGCTTTTGTATTGTATATTCTGTATTATTCTGTATTATTCTACAATACAGAAGCCTGATGATGGCAGATGAGATTCTGCCGAAGCGCTGCTACAACTTTAAAAGCACAACTACAATGATGTGGGAAAATACCAGAACAAAGCTGAATGCCATACATACATACATACATATATAATATTATATATACAATATTATATATATATATATATATATACACACACATACATACTATGGCATATCAGCAAATTATAAAAGCAACTGTAATCCTAAATACATCCTTCTATGATGAAAACCACGGAAAGAAGCTTCACATCCATTGTGTCCCTAGAGGGGGAAAACACCGGTCCAAAGTCCTCCCCTCAACCCAATTCAAGAGGCGGGGGGCGAGGAAGGGGCCGGGGATCGGAGAAGGGGCGAGACACCCCACTCACATGGCTTCCCTTCCCGGGCGGAGGAGGAGCAGGAGGAGGAGGCGGCGGCGGAGGAGGAAGGGCAGCGAAGGCGCCCGCGGCCGACCAGCCGAAAGCAGGAACTGGAGGGCCGCGAAGGGGCGGCGCGCTTTGGTGACGTCACGACCGCGCCGCGCTCGGGGGGGGAGTAGGAAGAAGAGGAGGGGGGACGGCGGCCTGGCAGGGCCAATCCGGGCGGCGTTCTCGTCCCTGAGGCGGAGGGGGAGGCCGGGCTCGCTCGGGGAGGAGAGCGGGGCTGGAGGGGCACAGAGGCCCCAAAGCAGCTTTTCTGAAACCCCTGAAAGACCCCCAATCTCTTCCCCCTCTCTCTCCTGGCTGGGGGATTCAAGGGGGAGGGAGCCCTCGGTCCCCAAATGGGGGGGGGGGACACAACCTGCAGAAAACTCACTAAACTCATCCCATAAATAGGCTGGAAGGGCTCATTTCCTTCCTTCCTTCCTTCTTTCCTTTTTCTTTCTTTTCCTTCCTTCCCTTTCTCTTTCCTTCCATTGTGATCCTTCTCTTTTCTCTTTCCTTCCTTCCCTCCATCTTCTCCTTCCATCTTTCTTTCTTTTCCTTTTCCTTTCTTTTCCTTCCTTCCCTTTCTCTTTCCTTCCATCGTGATCCTTCCTTCTCTTCTCTTCCCTTCCTTCCATCTTCTCCTTCCTTCCATCTTTCTTTCCTTTCTTCCCTTTTTCTTTCTGTCCATCTTGATCCTTTTCTTTCCTCTTTCCTTCCTTCCTTTCTTTTCCTTCCCTTTCTCTTTCATTCCATCGTAATCCTTCCTTTTCTTTCTCTTTCCTTCCCTCAATCTT